ATTTCGGGTTCCAGCTTGTTATTACAAATCCATCACAAGCCGCTTTCATCCAATTCCTTAACATCACACTTGGCCCATCCTTGAGCAACCACTCAGAAACTATGTTAGACGTGAGAACGACTATCTCATCTTATACAAAACACGAATAGATCTCTTTATAATAGGTTTTTTAGAATGTGTGGAGTTTCGCTGTTGCCGTAATCTTCTTGGGAGCTTTAGCAGGATCGTTCTCGATCCGAACGATAGCTGACAAAGTGGGAAGGAAAAGGGGACTTTATGTTCCTATGACCATTGCAATATTTTCTGCAGCATTATCCGCTGTTTCGAAGTTTGTAAGTTTCTTCAAGTCCTATTCTTTGCAGATAAGGGGAGACAAGTTTGACCTTCATGCACAACAAAGGACAAGCCTCATTTTTCTAATCTCTAGTTACTGTTTTTCGTACATGGTGCTCATTATGTAGGACTGCTGCCTGCTGCTTTGATTGAAATCATTACAGAAGTTGGGAAAAGTATTGGCCCTGTGAAAAGTGTTACAGCAGCATAAAGAGATAAAGGCTTTTGAAGAGGAACATAAGTACAGAAGTATGAACATGATAGTATGCATCTCTTGTGCCTCAACTGACCACATTTCGTTAGGATGGATGAAAATGTTCCAAGAAAACATCAAGCGTGCGGTGCATACGGTGGCTGATTTCAAGATGTATTAGGTTTTAGCCAATTTTCATTCAGTATAGTTAATCGCTGGCCTTGCTCTCAAAGAAACTTCTTTATTGTAAACGAATCTGTACAGAGCGGATGTTTTTGCGTGCGTAAATGTGCAATGCTTCTAAACTGAAAAGTTATTTTAAAAACTCAGCAGAAACATCTGCTTCTGGAAGGGAGGCCTTAGAAATACAAAAAAGTAGGAAAGGAGATTGAGAATAGCACGTTTTTCTCGAAATAGTGGTCAATAGTTTTATATAAATATCCTGTGTATCACAGTCCTCCATACTTGACTAAATTATTACTCAGGATGGATTGGTAAGCTTTTCTTCTCACCGAGTGGATTCCTGCATGCTTATTCGCTCAACACATGCATCAAATTTTTATTCGTTGTTATGTCATGTTATTCCGCTTTTGAAAAAGATGGAAACGGAAGGTTCATAAGGTGATCTCAATGAACTTTTGGCAAACTACAGTCGAAAACATTCCAGTGGTGTTTCTCATGAGTAAGCGGACAACACATGCCCTTCAATTTTTTAACTGATGACAAATTCCAGTAGTAGTTTCTCGTAGGCAAAGTCAGCTTTTCATTTTCTCGGCCTACGCAAATCTACACTATTTTTTAATATCTAGGTCTTATTTTTGATGTCAGATCTCATTTAAAGTGTGTATTCATTTCTTCAGAGAAAAAGCGAAAAGCAGGCTTCTTGATGTAAAAGGGCTAACGCAGAACCCATATAGTTATCTGTCACTTTACCAAGGTTTATGGAGTCGTATAGAGTCATGAATTGTCCATATGGAATCTTCGGCCAATATTCATTTTGCTAAACTGCCACTAGAGCTTATCAAAATCCAATGTGTATCCTTTTCGCCGCGTGGCACTAGATTTGAAACAAACATACCACTTTCGACACTTCTTTTGTCCCTTTACCGTAAAGCTCGATGAGATCACTCTGTAGATGTGCCGCTTCCTTTTCTTAGGGTTTCTAATCTTCTATGTTGGCATTTTCTCATTTAAGCAA